AATCTAAGGAGAAAAAAAAAGAAAAACAATTGAAAATTAAAAATGCCAAAAAGTTGATAAAGTTAAAAAACAAAAGGAAAGAAGTAAAAAATCAAGTTAGGATAAAAAACAAAATGTTGAAAGTCAAGACTATTAAAAAATGATAATAAATAAAATTGAAAATTCTATTGTATGATGGCATAGTGGAAAGGAGAAAAGTGAGAAAATGTAAAGTTGTAAATAACATTTAAATTTTGTATAGAAACATTATCATCAGTGTACAAAATATATGCACGAATCAAATGTTTTATATTATAAAAATATTTGGTATTCACTTATTGCTAAATTTAAGTTAAAATTTATGTAGAACAAGGACATTCATCTTATTCATTAGAGAGATAGGAAAACTTCTAACCGCAACCCAGCCGCTAGATAGCAACTCTGACGCGTTCTTTTGAAATTCTCTGTCCTTGTCTTACTCGTTAAAGAATAGAGTTTTCAATTATTTTACCATATTTCCTTTAATACGCTTTCATTTGGCAATAATTATTTAATAGCGATTCTTTACAACATTATCTCACGGCAATTAAATATTTTTCGATAGGACTATAGAAAAACATTAACATTTCGATTATATAGACATAACTGAAGTTTTCTAATTGCATAAGTTATTGAAGACCTCTTGCATCATTTCGAATCGGAATCCATTATTATTTCTTTACATTTGCTGACTGCGAACACTGAATATTCGAAAAAGCATCTCATGAGTTCCTGGTACCTACGCGCGAAGCAGGATCATCAAGAAGGTACTTGACAAGGATAAGGACTGCATTTTTTGGTGTAAAACAAGGGTGAAGTTAGAAGTGGCGTCATCCAGCATTAGCAGCCATTAATTACATGCGATATGTCGATGGGGAAAAAATGAAATCAGCATTAAGAACTCGAATCCCACAAATAATTCTTTAACGTTTGCAATTCAGTTTAAACTAAAAATGCTCGTAAATTTCGAATTTTTGGATATTTCATTAACCGAAAAATTGTTCGAGAGCTCGAAATCTCGCATATTTCGAATTTTTCATTAAGAGTTTTTCAAAGAGACAAGACGTGGTTTATCTTCTTTCTATAAAAGTAATAATAAATATAGCTTATAAATTACTAATCGAGCTAAAGAACTATATTCTTACGCCATCTAGTGATTATCTCGCCTATAGGGTTGTCCTTGCTTGTAGATTGCCAACCTCAAAGAAATATTTAACCCGTCCAAGAATCACTAATAAACTCATTAAATCCAGCTCGAAAGTAATAAAAATTAATACTCGAATATTCTCAGAGATCTGCTCTAATTTCTCCACTTGCAAGTGTTCACGAATTCTGTCAATAAAGGTAGAAAATTAATCGTTTACTTGGAACCTGTCAACAAATTCCAGATTGCCGTAATACAATATTCTAAAAAATCGTTAATAAATAATTAATGCGGAACAAACTCCTGTCGAATTTGATACAGAAAGGTAGCTGAAGATCTATCCTACATTTTCCATTTGTAAATGTCAGTGAATCATGAGTATGATTTGAAATATTAATAAATTTAGTGTCGATTTCGCTGCTGTTCTGGCGGCCATTGTTTGTCTTTCTCTTTCTCACATGAAATCGTATCTCTGTCCTTGTTGGATACCTCCTTTATCATCATACTTCGCGCGTAGGTATCAGGAACTGATGAGATGCTTTTTCAAAGTAGGTTGCACCAGGACTTCTATCTCTGTCCTTGTCGCACAGTAGCTCTGACTTTGTCTTACACTTACAGGGATAGCGAGAAACACGCCAAAGTTTTCACCGCTAGATGGCGATCCTATCGCGTTCCGCTGAAATTCTCTGTCCTTGTCGCACATCCTTTTTCTCCTTGTCTTACTTATTGCATCTGTAGGGAAAATGCTCGATTTTGTCAGGACAGTTGCAGGACAACTGCTTGAGTAGAGATAGTGGGGGAATGCTGTTTCAAGTTACTAACGTGAGGGGAGGAAGTTAGACGTCCCTGATGTAGAGAATTGTATCATTCGGGCAATGGAATATAAAATCTGTTATCCACGTGACATGTAGTTCTTCTATTGATTCCAAACATGGCGACCCTCTTGTCGCGTTTACCTCGGGTCGTTTTTAGGAAAAATCAATTGCAGTATAAACAAGTTTTAGTTTTTCCATTTGTGGATCGATCTCCACGATACAAATCCTTTTCTACAAATCAAGAAGACTCACGAACATTTAATGGAACCATAAAAAATTTTCTAACCTATACAGCCTTCTTTTCTGGACTTAGTTATTTTTTATATAAATGGAAAGATGATTTGATACCAAAAGTGCATGGGAAATCAATGAATCCAGTAGATATTAATCACAATAGAGACAAATACAATTTTATAGCTGATGTAGTGGAGATTTCAGCACCTTCTGTTGTTTACATTGAGATCAAGGACAATAAGAGGTAAATATAAATTATATCTGCAAGAAAACTCGGATAATTATTGTTATAAACAATTATTAATTACGAAATAGGTTTGATTATTTTACAGGTAAACCAGTCAGTGCTAGCAATGGATCTGGTTTCATTGTAGAATCTGATGGTTTAGTGTTAACAAATGCTCATGTTGTTGTGAATAAACCAAATACAACTGTTAAAGTAATTATTATATCTTGTAGATTCTTATTTGTTTACTATATGTAAAATAACTTGTGAAACATTTTTTCAGCAGTTCTCACACAATCTATTCTACAGGTACGCCTTCAAGATGGAAGCACGTATACTGGTATTGTGGAAGATGTTGATATGCACAGTGATCTTGCAACTGTGAGAATTAAGAAGGTTGATATATGTTGCAAAGTTTAATTTTCACGCATACAGTTTATTATAATATAAATACTTTATATAGACCAATTTACCAGTAATGAAGCTTGGTAATTCATCTACCGTTAGACCAGGTGAATTTGTGGTCGCTATTGGATCCCCGCTTGCTTTAAACAACAGTATAACAAGTGGAGTTATAAGCAGTGTAAACCGGCAAAGTGAAGAGCTTGGTCTTTACAATAAACAGATGGGTTATATACAAACAGATGCTGCAATTACTGTTAGGGATTTTTCATTTCACGTATCACACTAAGTGAAATTTGTTTTTTTATTAAATGTTATCAATTTCTAGTTTGGCAATTCAGGTGGACCTTTAGTTAATTTAAACGGCGAAGCGATAGGTATAAACGCGATGAGAGTAACAGCTGGAATTTCGTTTGCGATACCTATAGATTATGCTAAAGAATTCTTGAAGAAAGCAGAAATACGTAGAAAGAGCAAAGGTAAACTAATTCTTGAAACTATGCACAATATATGAATACTAAATGAAATTTATGACATTAGGTGCTCAAAGTACAGTGACTACACCTAGAAACAGATATATAGGAATTACCATGCTCACTCTGACACCTCACTTACTCTTTGAACTGCAACAAAGACATGAAGGAATTTCACAGAGTATTAAACATGGTGTACTAATTTGCAGAGTGATTGTTGGATCGCCGGCTCATACGTGCGTTGCTAAGATCAGTTATGTTAATATGAACCCAAACTAAATATTAATCGTTGTCTATTAATTTCAGAGGTGGTCTACAACCTGGTGATATCATAACACACGTGAACGGTGAGCCCGTAACGAGCGCTCTAAATATTTACAAAGCGGTGGAATCGTCGAAAGCCCTGAAACTGGTAGTTATTCGACGAATGGAAGTGTTAAATTTACTGATCGAACCAGAAGAAACCTAAGACGACAGTACTTGCGTTTTATTGACATGCAACATTAAAAACTTATTGCCTTAAAATATGTAGTTTTGTATGTCATACCTTTCTCCTGTTATCAAAACCTTCACTTGTCCCGTATATCCATGAATAATGTACACCAACTTTTCACATATACATCGTTGTACAATCTTTGAAAAAAATTACTATTTCGAATCATTTTAGTCTTTATATGAATTTTAAAAACCGATTACTGTTCCTTTTTACTTCGTGAAGTTTCTGTATCCAATCTGTATCCAAGTAAAAAAGAACCAGATTTTCATTCTGATTCCTTTAACTCTAGTTTCTTGAAACCACATATTTCAATATTGGTAAAATACGAACTAGCGGACCAGTAGCGAAATGGGTAGTAAAATCGACATAATAATTGCTACCTATTTTTTTGACAGTTAAAATAGAAGTTTTTACAAAAATATTTATTTTTGTTAGTAATGACAAGTTACTTAACGTGTATCGTGAAAATATATCTATATATCTAAAAAGTCTTTATTTGGGACCTAAAAACACAAGAGATTATACGGTGTTTGTGGTAATGTTGAATTAATTTGGACGGGGTACTAGTTACTTTTGATTTTGGAGTGGAGAGTAAATATTTAAGTATCTAATGAAGATGAGAGGGAAAGGAAATTTAATATAAAACATCACAAACTAGAAAAATTAACCCTTTGTGTTCGAGAGGTGACTATCCGTCACCACCAGATTTCATATGGTAAAACTATAAAATTTGATATATAATATTACATTTTGTATAACGTATCAATTTGAAAAATATTAAAATAAAATAGCTTTGTTCCTGAATATACGTACGATTTCTCTTCCAGTTAGTTTCACAAAATATAGTCTTTATCTCATCAGAAAATATTCAAATATTTCTACTGAAAAACTTCCGAGTGCAAAGCGTTAATGTTAAGGCTTTTATAATATTCAATGAACGAATTTTTTGCCTGTCAATGTCTGACAGATATTTATCCAATAAATACTTCGATAGTACAGAATAATTTGATACTAAAATGTATATTCACATAATAATTCGCAGTTATAGTTATATCGCAACAAAGATCCGAGTTACGTTTGAATGGCCGCATACACAGCACTCGAATTATTCTTGCCGCGTGTCCTCCACCTATGAGCGGCAAAAATCATCGCAGCCGTGTACGTCGGGTGTGGTCCACCGGCTGGGCTGCATTATGTTTATGTTGTTTACGACGTAAGGCGACCTCCGCAAATATGTGGCCGGATCTCGAGGAGCGTGGGTGTGGTCCCGGCATTTTTCCAAAATGATTTTACTGTCCGCGGACGCGTGCATCTTGTTGGAATTCTAACAGGCCGTCCCGGCGGGATGTAATGCCGCCACATCGTTCCTCCTCGAGAGATCCAAGGGACGACCCCGCTTCACGACCGTTTTTGCACGCACTCAAGAAACCGGCCGATAACTTTCCACGAGTTTGTAGTCACCGCGGAACCATAAATCGCAATTAACACCAGCGTGAATGATAATTGCCGATAACTGCCATCAGCATAGCGCCAGAATAGCTAACGACTCTTATCCGACGGACGCAGAGAAAATCCCGACGCGCGTTATTAATTGACACGCTCTTCTATAGCATACGTTGTATCCTTTCGCAGTTCTTCGAATAAAAGCAAACGAAGGCCAAGCGAAAATAACGGAGCCCACGTTTTCAATTAATTTCCTAAAGAAATTTATCATAGCCCGTTCGTTTCGCGTGGTATAAAGTTGGAGGATGATTAGCTTTTTCCTCCAACAGTACTTTTTTCTCGAGCCACTCCGGCGATCGGCGTCAGACATTAATTTTCTGATTATCCACGCTTTTATGTAGAACCTTTGCCAACGGGCAAGCGTTGCAACTTCCTACGAGAGTGTCTAGCGATTCTCGGTAGCTGGAGGACAAATGGGCATGAAGGTGATCGGGACCTCGTATCTACGAACGGAACGGACGAGATAGTCCCGGATTGCTCGGTCGCCTACACATACTTACATCTTGACTTTCCACCGGCCGATGACCAGGAGCAAGAAATCTCCTTAAAGGACCCGACCGTTTGGTAGAAGAGGATGTGGCCTATCTTTTAATAGACCCACTAGGCGAGCGTGTTGATCCGGAGTTGCAACAATCTACGAGTGGAACTTGGACCGATTAAAACGTGTTGAGCAAGTAGCACTCGAATATTTTTATTCTCCACTAGCAGCATTACACGTCCGTGAGAAGCGTGACCTTATATTTCATCAAAGAAGAGTTAATGAATTCTGTACAGGTTTTTACCGAATCCCATAAATCAGTCATGTTACGCAGGACAGGTTTATTACATTTTCCTAATTTTCCTTAAAATGATCAAGTTGCATTTAATTGCATATTATCAATGCTATGATTCAAACTCTAGCTATTAGCTGCATACAATTAACACGTTGAATGTCGTGGGGGTCACCGGTGACCCCCAACCAAATTGAATTGCTATAGTTCATTCAATTAAACGTTGATTATTTGAAACCATTTCTATATTATAAATAAAACTACATAATGCGGCGACATTCAGCTAGATGAACATGTAATAATAATAATGCAATTCAATGAAATTATTTGATATTATATTTTTCCTATTTTGTGTATTTTGCTCTATGAAATCGTGCGGCGTTCAACGTGTCAAGGAACACATTATTCTCATCATACCGATAATATTTAAAAATCAAACTACCATCGCATCTTCGTCCTATCTACACTTAGGCAACTACACAATTAGGAATTCGAATAAATCAAACGCAAACAAGGGGATAGACTTCTTTATCATTATTCGCTCGGTCACTGTCACCGATTCGAGGGAACAGCTCGTCCTCTAAAAAGCCACGACCAGCGCACAAGCAGTAACAGCATCATAGCTACAATTAATTTCGTCCGAAGGGACGACACCTATGCACCCCGATTCCGCGATACGAGAACGAGTTATTCCACCGCAGCGGTATTCGAAACTTAAAAGGTACCCCTCCATCTTCAGAACTCTCTCGTGCGCTGCGAGGGGCGCCACGAAGAATCCGCAGCGCCCGACCATGTCCGGGCCGACAATGACAAATAATTCCCGGTTTAAATGGCGACGCGATTAAGCGGGTCCGCAACCGGACGCGGATCGCACGCGACACGCAGGACAATCACTTTTGTTTCATCATTTTTCCGGGCGATCCCGCGTTCGCGCCCGGTCGCCAGGGTCCGGGTCACCGCGGCCTTGAGCGCGAGCGCGGCGTGGTGCGGAGCGGAGTGTAGCGGCTGATTTTATTGTGGCAAGGGTGGATTCCTGGTTGTCTGCGGTTCGAACGGCGGAAGAAAAAGAAAGGGGGGGAAAAAAAGCGCGGAAAAAGGTTGCGGCAGGCGAACAATTTCGCCTCTTGATGCCTCGATCAAGGCCGGCGGAATCGTTCGCCGGGAAACGCAATCACGGCTCCCATTGTGTGTCGGGGTCGATCAATCCTTCGAAAGAAAGGAGACGTAGCCAGCTCGATGTCGCCTTGGCATTGGCTGGCCCGGTTGACGGCCGATTTAACGGGAACCTGGCGAGCCGAATCGTATCGGCTGCCTTCACCGTTTCACCGGCTTAATTATACGCCGTGGGACCATGATCGTTATGAACAGGCGCGTAAGAAGTTTACGGGCGGTGGTGGGTGCCACCGGGGGAACCCGAGCAGAGCCTTCAGCCGACCTGTCGGTTTTTGCCCATCTCTTTTTTCCCGATGGCAGTAAATTTTCCGTGTTTTATGCGCCGGTCGACGATGTTCTTGCGGTTGTCTATAATAGCTGCGTAATGGTAGCTCTCTATGGAGATTACTCTGTGTAAATTTGTCGGAACAGCCATGTCATTTTCCGCTGCTGGCTACACGTTCACTTGCTCGCTCTTGGGCCGCGCGAAGGCGTTTGGTGTCTGGATACGCTGTCCGGCTTGGCTTGGCGCGGCACGATGCTGATCGCGCGGATCGAGCGGTGATAATGAGAAAAATCGAACCGGGCGAATAAATGGCCGGGATGTAGCGAACGACGGAGAGGGCGTGGCAAAGACGATTCACGTGGATCCGGATCCCGGATCGAGGGATCGAGTATTCGGTGAACGGATACGCTTGTCCTTCGACGGTTCCTCTGGTTCCTGGTTCGAAGACACCGTCCGCGCGGCTCGCTTGTCCCCTCCGCCATGTATATAAGTCAAAACCAGATCGGAAGCAAGGTGCACAAACAGAACAGTCCTTCGTTGAGCAAGGAGGTTCCTGGGAATACACGATTCACAAGATGCAGGCACTGGTGAGTCTGTACCTTTATTCACATTGGCGGGCATTTCGGTCAAAGGTTTGCCCTTAATGATCATTGCGGAATGGAGACTTGGTTGCTGATCGTATTCTAGTAATTAGTTGTTGTTTCGTATACAATGTTAGTTTGGTAGTTACTGTTTGTCGGTGCTTAAGCATCATTAGTTGTCGAATGTTTGATTTCAAGAAACTTGTATTTATAATTGTTTGAACTGTTAGCACTTTGACAGTTGTACCTTTTGCTAAGTTTAAGTACTGATGGTCGATACACGTTGCTTAGATTGATTTTGTTGTTAAATTTACGTTAAGTGATACACATTTTGTTTTCGGTGAAGTGTTTTAAAATTGAATTTCGAGTTGCTTGTTAATTAAAGATGGACTATTGATTAAACAATTATTGATTATAGCCTTCGTTGATCGTGTAGTAACACTTTAGGCCGGTGGCACTGTTAACCATGCATTGAAATCACCGAGTGCAAGGCATTTTAATTGGATTCATGATTTTAATATATGGAAATATTCGGTTTATGCTATAGAAATATTTGAACAATGTTTTTTATTTGTTGGAGGTTATTTGATAATGTTACAATAGTATAACGTAGCAGAGATAATAACTGTTTCATATTCAGTGCATTAAAATATTTTTGCATCGTTCAGTTAAATTCATTAGAAATTTTGAACGTAGAAATTTAAATGTTCGGCACATTATGTCCTCCATTTTAACGAACAAAATATTCTCTTCAAAGATCTATAATTGTCACAATCTCCATCGATCTGTAAATTCGTTGCACATACATATTTAATCCTATTCTCATAATATCGAGTCAGATTTGCAATGAATATGTTACGTCGAATCTAATAAATACGAATATCATTAAGATCGTATTAATTAAAGAACATTACTTAATATTAACACTAAATTTACTTTTCCACTCAACATACAATTCCTTGATCTATTAGAAAATTATAATATTATCAGCAACAAAGTAGCTCTCGTCATTTTGACCATGAACAAAATCATTGACAATAATTGAAATCAAGGTCATTGCGACGAAAAAGGCGGTCGGGCTATATAAAAAAAATCATGGCCTCGATGATAGGATTCCAATAGAGGTTGCAGTGGCTCGATTCGCCGCGTAGTTGAAATTCAAATGAACACCGCCCGTTACGGGCGGCCGAAATCAATGCCGAGAAACAAAATCTAGGAGCGGCGTTTTTCGTTTTCACGGACTCCTTTCTGTGTGATTCCGCTCGCCACGTCTGTAGCTACTCGTTCGTCTCTTATTGGATCGTAAAGAGAGCTGGATCTCGGGGCTCATGCAAGTATAAACTTACCCCCTCTCACGTGGCGAGAAGAGAATACACGGCGCTATCGACAGCGGGCGTAAAATTCGAACGATTCGTCGGCTATGTAGCCTTGTCGAGGGCACCGGCGAACCTCGAGGGGATTCCGAAGTCACGAGCGTGCTTTCCCGTCGTTTCATCGATGATCGTTCTGGGAACGGAGTACCCCGCGTCGATTCATTTCGGCCTGCTGGGATTTGAGGAGTCGAAGCAGAAATCAGGACTCATTTTAAAAAATGGCCATTTTCATTGAAACTTTCTGGGGACATAATTAGATCATTTCACTCAGGGCTTCTAATTTTCTGGCCGTCTCTTTCATCCCTTTGAATCCTACAGGTATTTTAATGTCCCACTTTTGCTAAAATGCTGTACTTTAATGTGCCATTTTTATTAAAATACTGATGCGAGATTGTCTAAATTTAATTCCATTTAACTTAAAGTACCATAAGTACCATTATATATATTAATATTCTATTGCTTATATTTAACCTATATGTTAATTGGAAAGTCTTAAAGTAGATTCTTTCAATAAAACTGGCAGTGAAAACTGACATAATTCAAAAGGTAAAATGTTAAAATCATCTTTGTCCTCTATAAAGTTACTTTCAACATGTCAAGAGCAAGGTAATGTCTTGCTAGAGAAATTAGTATCACTGATAAAAACGTTATTTCCTTCCAGATTCTCTTTATCGTAGGCTTGGGCCTAGTCTCGGGCACGCAGTTCAAGCTGCTGCCGTACGTCTATCTGTCCAACCCGCTTTCGGTGTACCAACAGTATCAGAACACGAGGACAGGGGAGCACGCGTACAGTTATGCGGGCGGCCCCTCCGCCAAGGAGGAGATCAAAGATGCCGCCGGCGTGACCCGAGGCTCGTACAGCTACGTGGACGCAAACGGTATCCTTCAGTCCGTTTTCTACGTCGCAGACGACAACGGTTTCCGCGTGGCCGCGACGGACCTGCCCACGGATGACAACGTGAGCCTCGAACCGGCGACACACGTGCTGCTGGCCAGAAGCGTGAAACCATCGGAGCAACAACAGCCGAAGCTAAACCGCAGAAGGCGTAGCTTAGACGCCAGTGAGAATCAGAGCGAGTCGAAACAGAAGGTCGAAGCAGCCGCCAGCGTGAAAACGGTTCTAGCGCCGGAGGCGACCCTGATCCAAGGTCTCCCGTACTCGACGTCTCATCAGAGTCAGGTGCAAATCCACAGAGGCGTCCAGCTGGAGCCGGCGAGACCATTGCTGAAGATCGATGCGCAGTCGCTCTATCAGCCGCTGATCCTGTCCAGCGACATTCCTCTGGCGACCTCTCATCAGAGTCAAGTTCAAATCCACAACAGCGCGAACGTCAAGCTGTCGGCTGGCGAGGACAAGGCCAAGCAATCGATCGATTACATCCTCCCAGCAGCGTCGTCCGCGTTACCGTTGTTGACCCCGGTCGTCAATTATCACGAGAACCGAATTGAGCTTCATAAGCAGTTGGGTATCGAGGGACCTCAGTTGAAGGATGCAGTGAAGCTGAACTCTGAGCCGCTAGCCCTAGTCCAATCGCCGGCCGCGTCCGTTTCGATTGCCCCAGTTTTAACGAAGGAGGCCGTTCTGCCAACTGTGATCGCGCAGGAGACCTTGACCCCAGCTACAGCTTCCGTGACCACGTCCATATCCAGCCATGGCATCAGCCAGATTCATCCCTCGACAAAGGTCGTTCAGCAGCCTTTAGCTGTTCCAACATTGATAGCTAAGGAAGCTGTGCCAGTGGCTGTCCAGGAAACTGTTCCGGTAGCTAAGCTTGCTTCCCCCACCGTAACCACCTCGATCACTAGTCACGGAGTCAGCCAAGTTCATGGGGACTTGAAGCTGAACATTGAACCGACGCTGCTGATAAAAACCGCGCCTCTTGCGCAGCTTCATCCCATTGTCGACCTGCCTCTATACCTTCATTAAGGTTTGATTAGTTGAATGTAACTGGCTGGCATGAGACGGACGCGTTATTCCTTGGGAAATGAGACGACACATCAGACAGGCTGCAATGATGACGACCTTTTGCGATCTTTCGCCGAACAGATTCCGGGAAAGGACAGGGTTTTCGATAGAGACTCAGGAAAAACGTTGTTTTTTCCTCGTGCGAGGTAGCTCTCTTCGGGATTGGTCGCCTGCATTACGAACGGACGGCGAGAGTGTCGACGGATGATTGATCGAGGATAGATTCGTCCGGCTGATAGCTCGCTCCCCTATTCGGGAATGTTATTTCTTTCTTCATCGCCTCTTCATTTTCAGCATCCGGAATCGCTTGATCGATCTTGTATTAAATTATTGTTCATGATTCACTTGAAAATAAAATGACTTGTGTGTGTGAATTGCTGTCGTTGAATCATTTGTCAACCTGCTTGAATGCACTGGTAGCTGCTATTGAAGTATTGATTTCACTTTGAATTATGATTCTGTGGGATTATTTTTTATTGTTTCCATTGATTCATGCGGATTCAGTTGTGTTATTTTTAGCTTGGATTTAAATCGAATTAAATCAATGTTTATTTAATTTATTGTATTTTACGGAACGTTCGATCCCATCGCTAGAAAGGACAACGCGATGTGGCAACCTTCTCAATGCCGACCGCAGTTTTAATGAGAATTTTAATCACTGTTCACAAACATCTCGACGACGAGCTGTTATCCAGTTAATCGACTGCCGATACTGCAATACGAGAAATTATTGCGGACATTCGTCCGTATATTGCCGTGCTCGATGGATTAATATTGATTTTGCGTCACTAATGGGAGGGGATAAACTAACGGCGCAGGCGTTAATTGTTTTTACTTGTCCGTGAAATTAGTAGGAGGGACTAGAAAATTGTCCGAGTGTTTACTGCAAGTTTATGACCGGCCAATCTGAATTTAACATGTTGAATACGCGAGCAGCCAGAAACCTGTTTCGCGTTCTCTAGTTAAAATCGGGGAGTGTCTACACGGTGCTGTCGCAAAAAACATGATCAACGGAGATTAGTAAATTAACACTTTACAGTTATACTGTACTTCGTTGGTTTAAGTGTGTTTTTCCTCGATCTTAAATGTAAAATGAATTAATGCGTGAATAACTGAAATTAAAGTTGCAACAATTCTGAGTGTAAGTCTTTTTCTTCGAATGAACTTATCATTGAATGAAATAGATCTGTAATGAAACTTCTATTCATTTTTCAAGTCTTAACTGATCACTAGAATCTAACAGTTTTATAACCCCAAACATCAGAAAATTATTATTGTATAGAAATATTTAGTTAGAAATATAATAACGAGGCATTATCTTTAGAAGTATATACAATTGAAAATGAGTAATGAAGAATGAATAATACATTTTCTACTATGAGAAAAAGAACTTAGTTATATACCAATGTTATAGTAGATTAATAGTCTCATAAATCAAAGGGAAACAACTCGATGAATAAACTTCATTTGCAAGACGAGCAACGTGTGTTTAAGGTCTTCAAGCCTCGACCAAAAATTCCAATTTCAGTTCCAAAGAAAGTCATTACGTAGCAGAACGCTTTCGCGCGTTCTCAAGCGAACGTCTCGCTGTACCGAGGGTTTAAGGGCCTCCCTACTGTGACAATCATTTCCCCTGCAGAATCATTCATGACTCTTTTAACACTTTCTAAACTCATCTCCAACTATTTTCTTTTTCCATATATTACACATTTTACAACAGAATCATATTATATTTTATATGATCATTCCGACCTTCCTTCTATAAAGATTATTTCTCTCTTCTTGTTTTCACTACATTCAGTATTTGATTTATGGAGAAATTATTATTAGACAGTACTCAAATGAAACTATCTATTCTTAAAATCATTTCAGATATTTAACATTCTTAACACTAAATGTACCACGTCCAGTCAAATGACTGAACTACCAAAACAAAAGAATGTGTCTATAGTTTTCCGTTGTCCTTAGAAACAAATAAAAATATATAATCTGTTTTTTATTATGATTAAGATATTTTGTACATTGTCTCCGTATGAAATCAACAATCACATATATTTCTTTCGCAAAAATATGAACGGTAGCTAACTGCCCCTATGCACTTTTAGCTTATGGATAGTTAGCCAAGACTTTAAAGGCTTACTCTAGAATAACAACCATAGTAGGATAGTAACTAAGATAAACAATTTCGTGACGCTGATAGTCTTTATCAACATAAACTTCAGTCAAGACAACGATTTGCAATGAGATTCAATAAATAGCCAAAATCGATTTTTTCGAGAACAACTTCTGATACTTCAAAACTTTATTCCATATTTTCGACTGATTTCTCGACATAGAATCAGCCTCTATTCATACAGCAGTTATATGACAATATAACTACCAATCGTAAAACAAGAAAACTGAAACCCGCCATCTTGTCGGGTGCTGTAGCTCTAGTGTCAAACTTCGCCGCTAGAGTAGATCTAACCAGAGATCCAAGCTTGCTCCCAAAGAACAAGCCGGCCGGCGACGCCGGTGTTCGTTGAAAGTCAATTTTCTGAAAGAGGGGGCGAGGCCCAAGGCGACGACGCGCAGCGCGGTCAAGTGACCTGCGGAAAAAAACGCCGAAGAATCCGGATCACCTTCCACAGTCAAGTGCACGGGCGTTCCTTGAGCGTAGCGGGGTCAAGGAACCGAATGACTGGTAAGATTAGAACCGCGGCGAGGGAAATATCACGGAATCTCTTAATACGCGTCGAAGCTCGCGCTTCGGGCCACGGTGGCGAGGGTAAAGCACGCACGCATACGCCCGCTCCCTTTTCCTGTAGGAACTCGTTTCCCGCTCCTTTCTAGCCGCGGATCCGCGCCGTGCGTGGGCGTCGGTGACAAACGACCTGTGGAAAGACGATGGAACGCGTCTTCGCGTAGGATCTCGCGTGCTTTCTTCATTATCCGTCCGCGACGCGACGCGGGTAACTTTAATTTCGCGCGATGAAACCGGAATCGAACCGGCCAATAAAACCACGTTCTCGCGTTCCACTCTTCGTATCCTGGATCCTGGATAACTCTTGTCTCACCGCTAGACAAGGCTAGCCGCTTTAAACGCGACCGTTCCGTTTTTTTGCGGGCCGTGTTCCGCGCGGATTAGATTGCCAGCGTGGATCCGTTTGAGAATGGACTCATTAATTCTCGCGAAACTTTGCGGACGCGCCGCTTTTGTTCTTGGTTTCCTTGTTTTTTTTATCGGTCGAGCGCGCTCGCAGGCTGGTTTCGGGATGTTTATACGGATCAATTTGGTTCAGCGCGGCTCGTTAATTGAGCGAGATACGTTTTTGTCGAGAATTCCTTCGCGGATGGGTCATTCGGTCTTTGAGAGGTTTGTTGGTTTTCGGTGGCGTGAAGGAATGTTCTGTGGTATCCGTGGGAATCGCGATGCTGGGGATAAATGCGATTAAGTGGACGATTTATCGTCGTGTTTGTGGTAGATGTGAACGCGTAATGATGAGTATAAAAGAGGTTCCTTTGGAATGGTTGTTTAATCCCTTGCTTTATGGTTTTTTGCGTGACAACGATCGCTGTAGATGCTTCATTGGTAACTATTCGCTAGAGACAAAGAAGTTTTATGTTCGTTGCGGTTGCACATTTTATTTACATATTTAAGACTGAGTATTGAGTAATGGATAAGGAGTGTTTTATTTTTAGTGATTTGAGCTGGAAAATTTTGCCACGAGTCCCGTTTGTAGTAGGACGAAAAATTAGTATTGTATCAAATTTCCATCTATACAGAAGACCGTTCATTACTGATTCAAATAAAATATCTTCAGTTAAGTTGAAACCTAGATTTCCAAATACTAAAAATATCAAAATCCTACGATCATTTAGAATACACAACGTAAAAAATTTGAATACTTTCGTAAATGAACCACAAACGTTGATAAACCAGACCAATATTACATTATTCCTTTAGAAGTAGACTTAAAGGCGAACAAAGATTCAATCACTTAAAAAGAAACACAAACCAAAAATTAAATGCAAATAAATAACCTACAAGCATCAGATCACATCTTCAACAATCACATCTAAAACCAAACTATAAGCAACGCACAAAACTACTCCAGAAACCTCAGACCACAACTCCTTCCAATCATCCAGTAACCTAAATACTGTTTCAAACCCGACGATAGGCCACCGTTCAACGAGGCCGACCGCAATCAAACAACGGTCCACCGGACCCACGGACTGCCCGTCCCGTTCGCCGAGGAACCCGTAAACGGCGATTTCCTTTGGGGCCCGCTCGAAGGGTCGTCGACTCGGCAGAAAACGGAAAAATCTGCGAATTATTGCACGCCGGGTATCATCCTCGCAACGGCTATCGCGTTCGCCTGGCAATATCACGTCTCACTTATTCGCGTTCGGCATATCGAAGCAGGAAGAATTTCCATCCCGGCCTGCAGCCAGGAAAAATGGAGAAAGGGGCGAAGCGTGGCGGGGGCGGAGGGTATCGAATGGTCCGCGGGCAGTTTGTCACGGGCCTCGGTCGTGGGAAATGCCGCGGGACCCTTGACCTTGAACACCATACCGATTGCTATTATCCGGAATATATTACGGCATTAAAGTACCGCACACGCTGGGATCGCGTGTCCAATAAGACGTCAGATTAGCCTCGGCCGTGGGTTACAAACATCTTCGCCCGTTCCCCCGCCGTTGCACGATGAACCTTGCGGATTAGCGCTGAACTCGCGGGGAACATCGATTACGGGCTGGATCATCGCTGGTACTCTAACCCAGGCCTGTCCAACAAGCCTTTTCGCGGGTAAGGGCAGTCACGGTTGCCCACGGGCAGAGCTTAGGGCAAAGCCACCGGCATACGTTCACGAGGCGAGGGAAATACACTTACGTTAGGGTCCGCGCGTTAGGGACTTAACACTAGAACCACCAGACGGGTCAAAATTATCCATTCCTGATTCCTTCATTTTGGAATTAATAAAAAGTAGGCAGATGTTTCTCTGAGAAATTATTGAAGAATTTGATTTAGCGATAAGCAAAGTGAATTATTCTTGGGGTTTTTATAGAATAGTTAGTTACTCGGTAATTTTAGTGCTAACACGTTTGCAAGCGCTGTCAAATTTGAAATACGCTTACTGTGGACAGTGCCATTTTTGCAATTGTTTTATGTGATGTATTATTTATATAATTTTTATAGATTTAAAACATAGTGAATAAACCGAACGGAGCATTTTGTATAAATGTCATATATGTGCGATATTTTGATATAGTCAAAGAGACAGTAGGGTATGTCATATTCCAAATATATGTT